GGCTGGCCTTACCGTTTGAGAGATTAGATGAAGAGGCCTAAAAAGGAGAAATCAGCGCGGTGCCAGGACGAGGCACTAACCAAATACATATTCTATCTAGTGGCCTGGCTGGGATGGCTGCAACCCCATCAATAGGAAGTCATTCATTTGGGTTAAAACATCACCACCTACTAAATAGCAAACGCATGCAGAAGTTAAGACATTCAATCATCTGGGGCTTTTTTTTTTTTTTTAATCAGACTGTTTATAAATAGAGTTAGCTAAAAGCTGAGTGGTGGCCAAATGAGATTCAGGATGTGAAATTTAGGTGATATAAGGGGTAAAAAGAAGTGTAAAGATGTCAAGATAAGGAGACAAAAATCTACGTAGGCAGGGATACCATGAAGGTACCAGGAAGGGAAGAGAGACTTAATGAAAACAAGCTTGCACAGAAGGCAATGCTGCCCACAGAGGCCCTGACCATCTGAACCACTGTTCTATTTCCATTGCTTGAACACTGCTTAGTCCATAGCAAGTGCTCAATTACAATTGCTACATAAATTAATTAATAAATTCTCTTTGAAAAAGTTTTTAAAATATATATTTTGTGTATTATTTTGTTTTCTAAGTGTTTGTGAAAAGACTGAGCACAAAACTAAGCCTGAAGCCTGCAGTGGTAAACTAGAAATGAACATGAATGAAAAGGAAAAACTAGAAATGAGTATGTCACTAAACGGAGCCAAAATCACAACTGGAAGTAATGACTGTTTCCCCTCAGACTTCACCAATAATGTGCCTCTTAGGTTGTTTACACCAAAAACAAAACAACAACAAAATAAACAAACAAAAAAAACCCAGTTGCCATCAGTCCATTCCAACTCATGGCATCCTCACGTGTGTCAGAGTAGAACTGTGCTCCATAGGGTTTTTGATGTCTGATTTTTCAGAAGTAGATCATCAGGACTTTCTTTCCAGGCACCTCTGTGTGGACTGGGACCTCCAACCTTTCATTTAACAGTTGAGCTCCTTAATGGCGGTACCACCCAGGAACTCCCTATTGTTTACAAAGGACCAGGAAATAGGAAGCTATATCAAAAGGTATAACAAATTGTTGGAATGAAATGATTCTACTGGTAACTCGACAGAATTAAGGAAGGAAAATTTAAGTTAAAAAATAAGCTTCCATCTGTTGGGATATATTGAGATTGAAGGAGCAGTCAGAAAAGAAATGAGAGGAACTCATACTTGAGAATGTATTCAAAGTTAAGACCAAAAAGAAGCTCTGAAGCCAGGACAGCAACAAATCTATATTCTTCTCCATGGGCCACCTAGAAAATAATTTCCTGCCTGATAAGAAACCAGTCCTTTAAAGATATTTCTGATGTTCTCACAGTCAAATATTTCTCATTAAGTAGATTTAATTTTTAATTTTCAAATCAGCAAGTTGATAAAAGGATAGACTTTAACAATCATATGTCACATCTTATATGCAGTTTGATTTTCTCTTTTTGCTTATTACTACTTTTGTGAGGTTTCGATAAAGCTCTATTTTCCCCTCACAGTTTAGCTTTTCTTTCTACTCAGTCATGTTGGGAAGTCATATTGGTCACCTGCAAATAACCTGTGGGAGGCAGAATAATGGTCCTGCAAAGATGTTCACATCCTAATCTCCAGAACCTGTGAATATATTAGGTTACATGGCAAAAAGTACATTAAGGTTGCAGACAGAATTAAGTTTACTGATCAGCTGACTTCAGGAAAGAGAGATTATCCTGGATTATCTGGGTGGGCACAGTCTAACCACATAAATCTTTAAAAGTGGACAAGGAGGCAAAAGACTGGTTGGAGAAACTCAATGTGAGAAGAACTGGACCAGCATTTGCTAGCTTTGAAGATGGATGAAAGGGGGCATGAGCCAAGGATTGTGACAGCCTCTAGAAGGTGGCAACTTCCCTCAGTTTACAGCCAGTGAGAAAACACAGGGATCTTGATTCTATAATCACAAGGAACTGAATTCTGCCGACAACCCAAACAAGCAAGAAACAGATTCTCTCTTAGAGCTTCCAGAAAGGAATGTGGCCCGCTGACACCTTGATTTTAGTCCATTGAGATCTGTACTGAACTTCTTACCTACAGAACCATAAAATGATAAAGTCGTGTTGCTTTAAACCACGAAAGTTGCAGTGATTTGTTACTGCAGCCACAGAAAACTAAAGCACAACTCAACCATTTCCAGGATAATTCCTGGGAACACTGACTTTTCAGAATTACACTGAGAAAGACACAGCAGAAAGAGAAGTCTGGAATAATACATTTTTAAATGCACATGAGGTTATCTACAGCCAAGGAAGTAAGCTATAGAATCAGAGACAGTTGCTTCCTTTTTCAATGTAAAACAATATACCTGGGCTTTTTGTTACATCTTACTTCATATCTAAGGGTTTATTCCAACCAGAAGCTGTCTGACCTATCTCAGTCCATTACCATGCTTTGGGTAGTAAACAGCTACAAATTGGCAGGAACACCGACATCTGGAACAGGTGAATGCCAAGAACTCTTTCTATGACTATTCCCCATTAGTCTCCCTGGCTCTTGGATCCCTGTTCCCATACCTAGCTTCAAGAGCTAGTTATGGCTACTCCATTTTGGTAAGGTTCCTCAGTGTTCAACTGGACTCAGCTGCCTTCTTGACTCCTAACTATGAATAGATTTGGTATCTAGATTTTGTAAGCTTAGGTGAGTGATTCCCTCTACCTACCAACATTTTGGCCATCCAATGCTGCCCTGAGTGTAAGTAATAAGAATCTGTAGAGCATAAGGTTGAGAAACTAGATTGAACCAATAATTATTTTCTTGCCTTAAAATTAATTAAATTTATACAATGACTTTATATATCGCAAAGGGATCCACACTTACTATCTCATCTGTGCCTCATATTGAAAATGGTAACGCAAATCTTATTATTTCTGCTTTATAATAGGATAAACTGAAACATACCAAAAGAGAATAAGTTGCCCACAATTGTGCAGTTAGTTAAGAACCAAGTCAGGCTAAAGACTAGGCTTCCTGACTTCTGTTCACAATCTCTGGGTCTCCTTTTTACAATCACAGAGGAGAAATCTCCCTTGTGTCTACAACAGTTTAAAGAAGACTGTTCCCCAAGAGATGAAAAGAGCACTGTGATGTTCTACAGCATCTCTGACCACTGCCATAGTATCTACATGTCCTCTCTCCACTACTCTATTGCTTTGTTCTCTTTTGCCCCTCCAGAATAAAATAAAACAGAAATTTAGGACAGATGAATGATAAAATCACCCCTCTTCTTCAGTCACACATAGAACATACCTGCGCTTTTAAAATTATACAAGGTAACTTGGCATAGTGGTTAAGAGCTACGGCTGCTAACCAAAAGGTCTGCAGTTCGAATCCACCAGGTACTCCATGGAAACCCTATGGGGCAGTTCTACTCTGTCCTATAGGGTCACTATGAGTCAGAATCGACTCAACAGCAATGGGTTTTTTAACTTGTTGCTAAAAACAGTTACTAAAATAAAATTGTCAGTCATATGAAAAGTTCAAAATTCTGTATGTTGGCAATGGTTCTAAGAGGCAATCTCTTTTATGTTCTAGAAAAATGTCTTGATTGGTTATCATCATGCATAAGGTTGATAATCTGTGACTGGCTGGAGTAAAGTGCTAAACAAGGTCTAACCCATCGATTTGCTTCTTGAAAGGGGAAAGGAGCTTTTAATTCACCCTCGTGATCTCAACTACCGCTAGTGGGTCAACATCATCATTAGACCACATTTGTTTGAGTAAATACTATTTTTTGTCCCTATAACAAATTTGATTCAGTAACACGGCATTCTTATGAAAAGTATTTAACTACCTGTAGAGATAAATAACTCCTTTAAAGTGTCTCCTTTAAATTTTCAAAAGAATTTCTAAAAGTAGCAAATTTCTAAAAAGAAAGAAAATAAAAGAAATAGAATAGGAGAGTATCAAAACAAAAATGTAGAAATGACCAGTAGGAACGTGCATTACAATCATCTAACCTAGATCATTGAAACATTCATGTAGAGGAAAAAGAATCCATAACATGGACCCAGTAGAGTAATGAACGATGTTCCTGGCTCCAAGGTATAAACCCATTGCCATCTAGTTGATTCTGACTCATAGCAATCTCGTAGGACAGTAGAAGTGTCCCACAGAGCTTCCAAGGACTGGATAGTGGATTTGAACGGCCAACCTTTTGGTTAGCAGCCGAGCTCTTAACCACTGTGCCACCAGGGCTCTCCTCCAAGGTATTATAGTTCCAATAAACTCTTTATGTATTTGGGTTCTGCCTCTTCTTTTAGGTAGAGAATGAGGATACAAGTTTCCTAGGTCTACCTTTTGATGACTTCTCTAAGACTTTCATGTCCCTTTAATTTTATTTCACTGGAATTATTGTGAAAAAGGAAATAAGTACAGGTCAGGTTTTTTTTTTTTTTAATTTCAGGTGAAACCAGGAAAATAGAAGACAATGTGCTCTGTAAATAAGATTACTACAACCTTTTATATCCCTGTGTCTAACTCAACGGTTAACAACGTGATGGACAAAATACTATCTATATCCAGGAAGGCTCTTTTCAAAGTTCTCCAAGTACCTAAGGATGATTTCACTGATACAGAAAACATTCTTTAAACTGGAAAGCATATGTTAATCTTAGGCTACAGGTGTAAAACTAAAAAATAAAGTTTGTAAGCAGTTTTCCAATAATAAATGAAAAGTAGAGATATTGGGTTGAAAATGGTAACCGGCACTCCAGTGCAGACCTACTGCCTTCATTATAAACTAGCCTTCAGTTACGTGATCTGTAAAATAGGTTTTTATAAGTATGCCAATAAGGCAAGTTAGCGGGAATTTGCGTTGATCTTAAGACCAGTGCTGTTCAAATGTAACACTTTGAAATGTAATGTTTCTTCTAATTTTGTATATTTGTCCCCATTCTTACAGGAAAAACATTCTGCCTGCATACGGTCATTAAACTAATATGGGTTGAAGTGGTACATAATGCAAAATGGTCGTGAAACCATACCATTCAATGATGGAACTGTGTTGGGATGCTAAAATATAATTATTTGTCCATCAAATATGAAAATAAAAAATAACTGCATATTAAAAGTTTTACAAAAATTTTTCATTTTTCCTTAAAAGACCCAAACCACTAAATTAAGTAGCTTCCCTCTGTAGAAACCTTAACCTGGCCAGGACTTCTTAGCATTGTAGTGCACTTTAAGGAGGAAACCCTTTAAAGATAATAAATACAATTGGGAAAAGCCTCTCTGTTTTTTTTTTTTTTTAAAATCAAACTTTGCACCAAAGCAATGCTAGTGATAGAACAAGATCTTGCCTCAAGGTTTCATTAATACTAATGATAACATAACAAGGATAATAGATAGCTTTTATGGAGAGCCCATAATGTAAAGCTGTTTTACTTACATCTATGTATTTCTTTTTTCTTGTTTTTTTTTTACTTTCCACTGGCATCACATTAAAAAAAGACATCATCATATCTCCCTGACACTATTACAATGATGTCCTGACTGGGCTTCTTACTTTGCCCTTGCCTGTCTGTAAGTATAAATTATATAATGTTACTCCCTTGCTTAAAATTACATAAATCATCACCATCAGGCTTATAATAAATCGAAACTCCTCACCCTGCTGTATATAATCAGAACCCTGTAAACCTGTCCAATCTTACCTCTCCTCGTTCTCCCCATTGTTGATTACGTACACACTGTCTGGCTTCTTTCTGGTTCTCAAACAAATCAAGTCTATTTTTCCCATAAGGCTTTTGCATTAACAGTCCCTCAGACTTAGATGTGCTTTTCTGGTCCTTGCAGAGCTCACTTTTATCACTTGGGTCTCAGGCTTTTCCTGTCTGCCCAACTTAAAGTATTTCCCATTCATACTCTTTTGCCCCATCCTGTTTTTATCACTGTTTCTATCAGAAACTGATATTTTCTTCTTTTTAATTTACTTATTGTCTCTCTCACTGGAGAGAATAGAAAGCATGGTTGTCTTGTTCATCACTATGTACTCAGAGTGCAGAATTTGATCTGGGAATAGTCATGCACTCAGTAAAGGTTTACTAAATGAAAGAATGAATTATTTTAATTCCTACAACCATTTTGTGAACCAGGTAGTCTATTTTTTCCCAATGTACTGAGGAGTAGTGAGATAAAGAGATTGTTGAAGGTCACTCGGTTATTTATTAGTAGCAGAGCTGGGATTCAAACCCAGATTTGTTGACTTCATGGTGGTTCTGCTCAACAGATTGATTGGGCAATCAAGAAAATGTACTAATAGGTAGGAATGGTTCAAATGATTTTGATTACAAGTTATAAGATACCCTTTTAGTTGAAACAAAAGGGAAGCCTATTATCCCACATTATTAGAAACCAAAAAATAGGACAATTGAATGGTTGGTATTTCAGTAGTTCAATGAAATAATCAAGGAAAAAGGTTCTTTTCACCTTTTTGCTTTGGATTTTGGCATGTGTCCACATGTCACATATGAACCCAACAATCTGTAGAAGAATCAATATGCAAATGGGCGTCTGTTTAGATTAAAATTGGGATCTTATTGATAAGAAGGTCACTAAGTCAACTAAACATTACCATTAAATATTTTTCCTAATACATTTCCTTATGCATTTATTACAAAGGGTATACTGCAATGGTGGCAAGTCTGGATGCACATTAATATCACCTTGAAAGCTTTTAAAATTTCAAAAATTTTTATACTTGGCTCATACCTCAGACCAATTAAATCAGTATTTCTGGGGAAGGGGCCTGAACACCAGAGTTTTTGTTGTTGTTTATTTTTTAAACTCTGTAGGCCATTCTATTGTACAATACAAGATTGAGAAGCACTAGAACATCATTTGTGGGTATACCCTCCTCGGTCATAAGTATTTCCATTTTTTGGGTTATTCATTATTGCTCACTTGTATGTTCTCATTTGTTTGTTAATTTCCATCCTATGACTTTTTCCTATGCTATTACTAAATAATAGTTGATTATTAAATGTGCTATACAAATGAAAAAAGTAATTTTGATCAGTTCCCATATATCATCTGAGAGCATTCTTGTGAAGATGAAGAAAGACAGTGTTTCAAATATACAGCACTTTAAAGTGACCCATCTTATAGTAACAAGATGTAGTGCCTGATGCACTTCTCGATGATGTATTATAAAGATGCAATCACCTCATTCTTTTTCAAAATAACCAATGTCTGTGGAGAATTGTACTTTTCAAAGACAGAGATAAAAATATCTCCCATCCAACTTGCTCCTTTGCACTATGGCCTTGCCTCTTCCCACCAAGAATTGGAGTCTAATACTCCCTCCTTTGATTCTGGGTTGGCTTAGTGACTTGCTTGAAACAACTGAAATGTGGTAGAAGTGTCACTGTGCTTCTAAGGCTAGGTCAGAAAAGGCAATGTGGCTTCCACCTGGTTCTCTTGAAAGAGACACACGTAACTCTACCACTTACTTAGCTTTCCTCTTTTTGGCTATGCTCAAGGTTTCAAAGGAGAAAAGGGAGGGGGAGGAAAACCGGGTATTCACTCCTTAGTTCTTGAGATAATGCTCTTGTAGGAACTATTTAGAATCACAACTTCTGGTAGTCAGTATAAAAATACATTTGCAACCTTAAAATATATTTTTAAAAAATTCGCCTAAACTAAGAAACCAATGTATCCAAGCACAAGATAGGTTTTCAAACTAAATTTACAAATTTGTAATGAAAATAGCCTAATCCCATGCTTTCTAAAGTGTGTTCCATAGAACATTAGTCCTTCAAGCTGCTCCTTAAGAAAAGTGTCCCCAGGTCAAAGAAATTTGGGGAATGTTGCATATTATACATCTCTTCTAGAGATTCATACTATTCATGAGCTTTATTGAGGTTCTGGAAGGCCTGCAGTAAAAAGATCTATTTAGCTGTATTTCACCCAGCATTTCTCACACTTATTTGAGCACAGAAATACGTATGTGTGTGTGGGTGTGTACATGCATACGTGCCTTCTTTGAGAGGGATCATGAAGGCAGATAAAATATCCATTATATCCATATAGTGAGAAAGAACTGGCCCCGTAACAGCAGGTACAAAGCACAGCTATTAACAGCCTCACTTGCTTGCAAAAGATTTCCTGGGAGCAGATGCAGACAGGGAAGAAGAGACAGTGGCTGGAATTTTTTGAGATCCTCCTCATCTCTGTTTTCATAACACCTTCATCCATCTTCCTTGTACCTTTTCCCCGAGGCAAGTTAATGGATTAACCTAAGAACACAGAGTATCAGAGGCCAAAACTCTGCATCTGAGAAGACATTGTAGCTTCATATGTACAGAGGAATAAATCATTTCACAGTGTTTCTCCAGTGAAGCCTAGAAAGAAAAATCACAGACAAGGGGATTTGTCCTTCAGATGGTTATTACCCATAGCAGGTGGCAGAAAGGCCAACGGTAGAAACTGCATTTCAGCAACCAAAGTCACAGCCCAAACACAAAGATGCTCACAGGGCCTCTGTCTTCTTGGCTGCTGGGACACAATATTAACAACCAAACAGTGACAGACAGATTATTGTACTTGTTCCCTTTGCCATAGATTCCTGAACATACACAGGGAGTTGCTCTTCAAGCCAAGATTGGAGAAAGAAAAAGTAGAATGAAAAAAAAGAAAAATACCAGAAGTACCAGCTGCTAAAATGAAATAAAAGACTACAAATCTAACCTCAAGCACTTGAATTCCTTAAAGCTCAGAGCAACATCAGGGAAAACTATATTGCTAGTATAACAAGGGCAAGAGGAATCTTAGCTGCAGATCCTTCATAGTTGTCTATCTAGTTTTGGATTATATTGATAGAGTTTACAAAAATCTTATGTTTTCAGGATTTGATTGGCTTTGAAAGTGATCAAGGCAAGGATTTTGAAGGATTTTTCTAGACTAGCCATTGGAATTTAGCTATATAATAAAAAAAACTAAGAATCAATGAAAAAAGATTGTAGAGTGACATGGAATAATGGTTAAGAGGACAGGCTTTGAAGTCTGATGGAGTTGGATTCAAATATCAACACTGCCATTTAAAAGCTATTTAACCTTGGGCAAAGTACTCAACCTTTGAGAGTTCCTGTTTCCTCATGAAGAACAAGGAATAAAAATAACACCTACTTCACTGTTGTCATGGATTGAATTATGTCCCCCAAAAAATGTGTGCATCAATTTGGCTGGGCCATGATTCCCAGTATTGTGTGGTTGTCCTCCATTTTGTGATTGTAATTTTATGTTAAAGAGGATTAGGATGTGACTGTAACACCCTCACTAAGGTCACATCCCTAATCCAATGTAAAGGAAGTTTCCCTGGGATGTGGCCTGCACCACCTTTTATCTCACAAGAGATAAAAGGAGAGGGAAGCAAGCAGAGAGTTGGGGACCTCATACCACCAAGAAAGCAGTGCCGGGAGCAGAGCTTGTCCTTTGGACCCGGGGTCCCTACGTGGAGAAGATCCTAGTCTGGGGGAAGGTTGATGAGAAGCCGACAGAGAGAGAAAGCCTTCCCCTGGAGCTGATGTCCTGAATTTGGACTTTTAGCCTACTTTACTGTGAGGAAGTAAACTTCTGTTTGTTAAAGCCATCCACTTGTGGTATTTCTGTTATAGCAGTACTAGATGACTAAGACAACTGTGTTGTCAGATTTAAATACATAAGGCAAAGCATTTAGTTCAGTGCCTGACAAACGAACCTGTTGCCATCGAGTTGATTCTGGCCTATAGTGACCCTGTAGGACAGAGCAGAACTGCCGCACAGCATTTCCAAGGAACGGCTGGTGGATTCGAACTGCTGACCTTTTAATTAGCAAGGGAGCGCTTAACCACTGTGCCACCAGGGCTTTGCCTGGCAAATAGTGGGCATGTAATAAATGGTGACTGCAGTTATCCTCATCATCATTATCTTACAGCTGTTACAGCCTAGTGGCTCTT